GTCCATATATTTTAGTCAATAATGAAATATTAAATGGTTATGTATTCTGACCACATCATATTGAATTATTGTAAAAAGTAAATAAAATAAATTAATTTTTTTTCACCAAAATAATTTAGGGGGCTTTAAAATATTTAAAACAGGCCTAGTGACACCACTGACTGTTGGTGTTAACCCTGTTTGTCTGTTAGCAAAATATCTCATGAGCTAATTAAAGGATTGCAATGTAAGTTTCAGGAAATATCCATTGTCTACAACTGATTAAGATTTACAGTTAATCTGATTTAAGATGACCGTAACAACCAATCAAATTTAGCTACTACAAAAATGTCTCTACTCAATCAGTTGTACAGATACTGAGCTAATTTGTCATGTGGTAGTAGCTGAGAGTCGTTCACAACACTTTCTGAATGTGAGTTATCAGATTTTTAAACTTTGACTCAAATGATTTGTAACTTTGAGGCTTCTCATCATAAAAATGATCTTAGTTTAAAATTAGCATTAAAGGCAGGTGATGTCCTTCAAACAATGCTAACTCTTTAGCTCAAAGTTTGATTTGATAAATTAGGAAATTTATTCGTTTTCATTAAAAACAAAATAAATTCACATTCACAAAATATTCAAATCAAATCAAATGAAAGGTGGCAGAAATAAGAATAATATCTGTCCCAATGATCTAATAATAAGATGTAATAATGTTTTAGCTTGAGACTGTATTTAATTAAGTTTAGGCCAGGAGTTTACAACGTGGGGCTCTGGGGCCACATGTGGCCCTTTGTTCTCTCTGCAGCGGCCCTTTGAAGCTTCGACCAATACTAAGATGAAATTACACTTTTTAATTTTTATACTCAACAGAAAAGGATAACTTTAGCAGGTTTTCTGTTGATTTATTTACAAATATCTGATACAAGAAGGAAAACATGTTAATTAGATCATGCTAGTAGCCTGTTAGCCCCTTCATTAATCCAACCTCCAGCCTTAAATTGTAATCTTTCTCACAAATCCATCAGGGTTATGGTTAAAGGCCTTTAAGACCAGTAGAAACATAAATGTGTCTGCATGGTTCAGTTTTGTTTTTAATATTTGTTTCTTGTTTATGAACCTTTTCTTTGTCCGAAAATGTAAAAATATAATAAATGTAAAAAAATGTTTATATTTTTAGTTTTAAAAAGTCAGACCTGCTCATTGAACTAACTGGAAGTGGCCCACAGACCACCAGTTGATAATCACAGCACATTTTGCTGCTGGAGACACATTTTATCAGTGAAGCTTGGAGCAGAAATGTTTTATTTTATTTTATTTTTTTATTGTAAAGCTTGCAGAGCTCTGCTTTAAGTATAAAGACTTTAATCGACGTGTAAAATCAGATGTTTTTCTTCACGGGTGAATTATTTTTACAATGTGATGCACTTTGACCGAATCTGTAGAGTTCATATTAACTGAAGTAAAACAAACTAAACATGAGAATATTTGGATTATGTGAGTATTTATTCTGATTTGGCAGGTTTTACAGGTAAAATCAGTTTATTGTGATTGGTCAAACACAGCGATGGTTTGAGGGTCCACAGACCTGTTCATGTGGTCTGTGGGTCTCAGAGTAGGGGGCTTTAAGGTCCTCTCTGCTTTTTAGAGCAGATCCCTTCTTTGTTCCTGAAACGCTGCAACTTTAATAACTCCTGCCTCAACACTTTGCTACTTCAAACAATCTTAAAGCTTTTTGACTTTAATTCAAGCTTCCTGTCTGTGGTGCAAACGTGCAAGCAGAGCTGCAGCGTCTCATCAGAGCCACGGCCTTTAGAGGGTTAACTTTTAAAAAGAAAAGCTGGAAACATGTTTTAAAGTCATAAACTGGACTTATTTGAGGAATTCTTTAGACTAAAAGTAGATGAAAATCAACCCAGAACCCTGTGGAAGGATTATACAGCGGGTGAAACAAGTATTGAACATGTCACCATTTTTCTCAGTAAATATATTACTAGAGGTGCTAATGACATGAAATTTTCACCAGATGTCGGTAACAACCCAAGTGATCCATACATACAAAGAAATCAAACCATAAATGTCCAGAAATTAAGTTATTTGTAATAATGTGGAATGGCACAGGGAAAAAGTATTGAACACACTTACTGAAATTTATCTAATACTTTGTACAAAAGCCTTTGTTGTCAATGACAGCTTCAAGACGCCTCCTGTATGGAGAAACTAGTGGCATGCATTGCTCAGGTGTGATTTTGGCCCATTCTTCCACAAACAGTCTTCAAATCTTGAAGGTTTCGTGGACCTCTTCTATGAACTCTGATCTTTAGTTCTTTCCATAGATTTTCTGTTGGATTCAGGTCAGGTGATTGGCTGGGCCATTCCAGCAGCTTTAGTTTCTTTCTCTGAAACCAACTGAGAGTTTCCTTGGCTTTGTGTTTGGGCTCATTGTCTTGCTGAAATGTCCAGCCACGTTTCATCTTCATCATCCTGGTAGATGGAAGCAGATTTTTATCAAGAATGTCTCTGTACTTTTTTCCACTCATCCTTCCTTCAATTATTTGAAGTTTGCCAGTACCATATGCTGAAAAACAGCCCCACACCATGATGTTCCCACCTCCAAACTTCACTGTTGGTATGGTGTTTTTGGGCTGATGTGCAGTGCCATTTGACCTCCAAACATGATGTGTATTCTGGCATCCAAACAGTTCAATGTTGGTCTCATCTGACCAGACTATATTCTCCCAGTATTACACAGGCTTGTTTAAATGTTGTGCAGCAAACTTTAAAGGAGCTTCAACATGCTGTTTCTTCAGCAGTGGAGTCTTGCGTGGTGAGCGTGCATACAGGCCATGGTGGTTCAGTGCATTACTTATTGTTTTCTTTGAAACAATCGTACCTGCTAATTCCAGGTCTTTCTGAAGCTCTCCACAAGTGGTCCTTGGCTCTTGGACAACTCTTCTGATAATTCTTTTCACTCCTCTGTCAGAAATCTTGTGAGGAGCACCTGGTCGTGGTCGGTTTATGGTGAAATAATGTTCTTTCCACTTCTGAATTATGGCCCCAACAGTGCTCACTGGAACCTTCAGAAGTTTAGACATTCTTCTGTAACCGATGCCATCATTATGCTTTGCAACAATAAGGTTGCGAAGGTCTTGAGAGAGCTCTTTACTTTTACCCATCATCAGATGGTTCTTGTGTGATACCTGGCCATCATTTGGGACTGAACCAGCTGATATTAACTTGCACTGACAAGGGGCAGGCTTGTTTTCTAATTACTGAGAGAGTTCAGCTGGTGTCTTGTCTTTCCATGTCTTTTTACACCTCCCTTTCTTCATGTGTTCAATACTTTTTCCCTGTGCCATTCCACATTATTACAAATAACTTCATTTCTGGACATTTATGGTTGTATGGATCACTTGGGTTGTTACCGACATCTGGTGAAAATTTCATGTCATTAGCACCTCTAGTAATATATTTACTGAGAAAAATGGTCACGTGTTCAATACTTATTTTACCCGCTGTAGATCCTCTCTGGGAACGGGGGGTCTGGGTTTCCCCCTCCTGGACCTGCTGTCAGATAAGAGGCAGAAGATGGAGAAAGTGAACTAAAACCATAGAAACAAATCTTCTATCAGGACAAGAGTTCTCCACCTGTAGTTAAACCTGACCTGCAGCTTAATTTACACTAAAATCTAAATTTCACTTTTATCTAGTTTTTCTGTTTCTGACACAAATTTTAAAGTTTCACATTGAAAAAGTAGGTCAACATAATAAAAAATACTTTATTTAGAAAATTAATTCCATATGTTCTTCAGGATTAGGTTGTTTTTAGAAAAAACAAATTGAGGCACACAGAACTGAACGAAACCTGAAACTTCAGCTGTTTTCTAACGTGAACAAAATGTTCTGAGTTGTGAAGATGAAACAAGTTGTTTCTGTTTGTTCTGAAGGTGACATCTTGAGTTCTTATTTATTTTTTGTCTCTGTCGTGTTTTAAAGCTCAGCTGACGGTGAAGACCCTGTGAGGCCCTGGTTGGATGCTTCTGGATCAAACTGCAGTCATGTGGGACGAGCTCCAACAAAACCAGAGGAGGTAGGCTGACCCGTATCAGAGACCAGGACCTGGTCCCGTGTATAACAAGACACATCTGAGTCCAAAGCTGAAACCAGAACCTGCTGTGGGTTCACAGTCATCCATCACACTGTAATCCTAGATGTTCACGTCAGAGGAGCAGTCCTCACTTAACAAATCTGAAACCTCACAGTCAGTTTGAGCTAAACTCAGAACGAAAAGTGAAATAAAATGTTTGTCTGTGATGTGATTACCAGAATCCCCCACACCTGCTTTAATCTGATGAGAACTTGGCTAATTTGAAAAATGGCAACAAAGTGGGCAGTGCCAAGAGACACTGAGGGGAGTGGCCAAAAGAGGGGGATGAGCCAGGAGGTGTGGTCAAGGACGAGGCAACGCGACAGCTAGCTTAATTTGACAAGCTAACATTTCTGAAACCATTTCTGATTGTTCTAAAGAAATGATTTAGTAACAAATAAAGTTTCATGACATACATGTAAAGTCACATTTAGATGTTACAAACTAAACAGTTCAGGCAACAAACTCTTAAAACGTGACTTTGACCCAAAACAGAAAGAGGAGATTAATTTCCCATTTCTGCAATGGAGGACAGAATGGGTCCAGTTGGTGTTAAAATGAGGTTAGCATTGTTGCTAACATGGGCTAATCATGTTCAAAGCAGTAACAAACTCTGACACAGGTCCTTTCCCAATCTGTGGCTACACACTCGCCCTACTCTCTACTCACTCAGTTTGTGCGTTCCTGTGGAGCGTCGGCCATATGAAGTCCCATCTGAAACCAATTACAGACGAGGGCGAGTGGCTTATTAAGCCCTCCACAGCGAGTCTACATCCAGTGCAGACTTGAGCAGCAGGTGCAGCACCAAATAGTGGTCGACATGGAACACGGGACATATAAATTTAAGTTCCACATATGTTTTGTACACATATTTACTATGTAAACACCTCACCAACAAATATAATTTCACAGAAAACATGTTTAATTCAATTCAAATTTTATTAAAGACACAGAACCATGGTCCACATTTAAAAAAGAATAAAGAAAACATTTTAAAAGTAAAGAATAAATAAATCAATTATTTAAAAAATGTTAAAAGTGCAGTTATTTTTGACAAGTTATCACAATGTTTGTTACAAATACAGTCATATCTGAAAACTCTCTAAAATGTGGGCCTAATAAATTATTTTCTTTGGTCCTATTAAAAAAGTGTTTGTTCCAACCCCTGCCTCGCTGCAGGGGCGTGTCTGACAGAGAGGCTTTTATAGCAGAACACAGATTTAACCAATCGGATTATTCCCCTGCAATACCACTGTTCTACCTATAGAGGGCAGCACTAAGATGTTTTTAGACCACATGCTGCCGATTTAGACAGATTTACCTAAAAATATTTAAATTTGCAAAGAAATATAAAGACATGGCAGAATTTAATCGGTTTATTTGACAAACAAATTTAATTTTGGGGTTAGCTACCCTTTAAAGTTGGTGTTTCTGAAAAATTTGTTTGGTATTTTTAAAAAAATTGTTCAAAAAAAGTTCTTTTCCTGCTCATGATAAGACTAAATATTTGATTTCAAACTGTTTTTTGATAAGCTGTCCGGTACTGGAAACCAGTAAATATTAAAAAAAAATTGTGGACTGATGAAAGCCCAGATTAAAAGATCAGGATAAAATCTGATTGATTCAAAGAAAAATACATAAACCTTTAATTGCTTTGGATCAGTGTTTTCATTCTTGTTGGATCCAGATCAGGTTTGCTTGGTCTGGGTCTAAAGTCCAGGTCCAAGTCCCTGACAGACGTTCAGTCTCTTCTATATGGATGGATTTTTAAAAAAATGCTAAATTGAAATAAGTTTTTTCCAGTAAAGGTGTTTTTGTTGCAGAACAAGATGCAGAAACTCCTCTTCCTAACCCTCATCTGTTCTCTCTGTGGTCAGTTTTCACTTTTAGTTTCTTTTCTTTCTGTAAATAAAAGTGACAGTTCTTGTTGATTTGAACGTTTCCTTTGACTCTGCAGGAACATGTGGCGTGGTGAAAAGCTCCGTGACCATGTATGAGGTGACGGAAAACAAGAACCTGACCATCAGATGGAACACTCCCATGAAATCTGATGTGACGCTCATGAACATGATGTGTGAGTTCCACTCAGACCACGTCAAGGTTCTGTATGAAACGATACAGGGAGTTCCAGTGGCTGCAGACGAGCAGTTTGCAGGACGGGTTCAGTTTGACAGAAAGGCTCCCAAAGAGGCAGAAATTCGTCTCCATCTGTCCCGAGTCACGGCTCAGGACGCCGGCAGTTACGTTTGTTTTTTAGTGGGTAATTATGACCAGAACGCCATGAGGTGGAGGCTGGAAATGACCGGTAAGACGAGTCGGATTTTATTCTATTTGATTTTATTTAAAGTTTTAAATACTTTATGTACCGTGTTTCTTCTTACAGAACATTTTCTCCTGAACGTAACATCTGGAGCTGAGCTAAGACCGGACTGTCCAACCACTGCAGGTAATCTAGAATTAGAGGTGGGCGGATCGATACTAAATATCGATAATATCGATACTAGCACTGGTATTGATATTGAACAATACTCGTGTATGGTATGGAATGATGAGTGGGGATGGATGTAAAATCCATATGAGCGGAGGCCTCCTAAGTGGGCACAATGCTCTCCCCAAAAAGACACTGGTCTTCATTCAAACCTTCTCACCCTTTGGATGAAAGACACAAGGTTAGAAACACTCAGTGTTCTGAGCTTCTCAGGATCCACAAAGGGGTCCCCAAGAATTATTTTCCTTTGACCACTCAGAGCCAGGCATTGGCCTAAGTAGTGATGCCACAGGCATCACACAGGCCATTGTCATGGAGTCCCATCACCATTTTGAAGCGGTTGAGCAGATTGTGCCCAGTTAGGACTCCAACCAGTGTACTTAGAGTTTTCCTTGACAGGGAGATGAGAGCTTTCTCAAACCTTAGAGTTGGGCCGTTAATCAGTTCCCATGCCTGTCTACAGTCCGTCAGCTCCCTCCGGCGGACTGACTGTTGACGTCTAATCCAGGCCTGTAGGGCAGTCCTACAGACTGTTGTTGAGGTACCTACAACAGGCTCTGGTCCTTTGAAGTGAGCCTGACTGCCAGCTATTGTGAGGTAGTCAGCTCTCTCGTTACCATAAATGCCAGTATGTRCTGGWARDCATTTAACAGTAACACTATTATCTCTCCCCAGTTGGTTGACTGCTTCGGCACACTCACAAGCCAATAATGATGTAAAGTGTGGCCCTCAGAGAGCTCTAATAGCAGCTTGGCTATCTGTTAGGATGAATATTTCCTTCTGTGTACACTGAAGGTCTTTGAGAGATGCCACACACTGGTGGACTGCAGATATCTCAGCTTCAGAAACAGTTGCAAAACAACCCAGTGAGTATTTATGCTCTGTCTTACTGTGGTTGTGCAAAATAAGCACCCCTGCACCTACTGACCCCTTCAGAAAGGATCCATCTGTAAAACAGTAGAAATGATTGGGAGACATGTCCGTCGTAGAGAGGTTTATCCAGACAGACCTGTCTTCTATCTCTGTCTTAAAACTTGGCTCGAAATTGTATTTTTTGACAATTCTGTCTCCAGGTCCTGCAGTTACTGGAACAGTCCCAGATTCCAGTGTGCTGTGAGTCAGATAGGCTTTTCCACCTACCAGACTGGCATAGCCTTGCTGCACTGGATGCGGCCTCCCCTAAGATATGTAAATCTAGTGGAGCCAGGTCCAGTAGGACCTCCATGGCTGCCGTGGGTGTTGTTCTGATGGAACCTGTGATGCTCAGGCAGGCCATTCGTTGCACATGGGTGAGCATCACTCTTGCCACCCCAGCTTGGACTCGAACTTTTACTGGTGTAAAAAGATCGATACTCAAGCTTTGTTCTGTCCTGCACACAATGACTGCTGCACACGCGGAGTTTTCAAAGTCTACTCTCTGTCTGTAGTGCTGCACTGTGTCACACACAGCACAGAGCAGCACTTTCGTTGGATCTTTTGTTGTTGCACCGTCACGTGGTTCAGCAACGCTAGCCAGACGGCTAAGCTAACTAAGCAGGTAGGCTGGCCCACCCACTCAGCGTTCTCACTGAGCCCTCTACCTCAGGAGATTTTGTTTTAAGTTGTGTTGAGTGATATAGTTAAGAAATAACTAGGAACGATGTCTAGTGGTGGGGGAAGAATTTTTATTTTTATTTTTGTATAAAATATTTATTTTCCTAATGTTAAAGGAAACTGGTTTGTTACTGCTTTATTGTTGGCAAGCAAAAATATTGATTGTTATAATAAAGTAATTTGTTGTCACGTACAATGTTTGGCAAAATTCTATCCTAGATCTTTTGGATCTTTTCAAATTATGAAGCTTTAAAAGTATCGGTATTGATATCGGCGATACTGGCCCTGTATTGACTTGGTATTGGATCGATACCAAAATTCCCAGTATCACCCACCTCTATCTAGAATCAGTCTGAGAGGGAGATGATGCAGTAGTTTCACATCTTTGAGCTGGGGAACTACAAGGAATTAGTGAAATGTGGGCGCCGAGTGTGCAGACATAAGCAAAAACAAACACTTCCTTTTGGTTTAACTGCTGCATCACTGTGATAACCTCCGCCACAAACCACACAGCAGCGATGCGTCTAGAGGAAGATATAAATAAAAAAGACCTAGAAGAGATGAAGTGGTTAAGACTTAGAAACTGACGAAACATTTAAAACAACCAAAGTACTGAACAATAATCTGAATAAACACATAAAACAAGAACGGCAAAAATAAAATAAAATAAAACTTTCATTGCAATAAAAAACCAAAGGAACCTTTAGAAATGACTTTTTCTTTACTGCTTTAGTAAATTTAACTGAAGAAGCTGAATCCAAAAGCTAAAAAGAGAGCAAAAGCTAAAATGTTTGGAGTGAAAGCTAATAGGAACACAATAGCTAAACGCTAAAGGTAGCAAAATGATAAGTGAGACTGCAAAATGATTAAATTCAGGAGCTATGTCCTTTGAAGGACCTGGCCTACCCAGTCTAGGTGGGCCAGGTCCTTTGACTGTGAAGACTGGAAAAAAGTGAATTTGGACGGTCTGCATTATTCCCACCCTTACCGCGGCGCATCTCCTGTCACTTAGCAAGCGTGACGATGCTAAACAGAAGCAAAAATAGGTCAAAATGAGCAAAATATCAATATACTAGTATTTTAAATATCATAAACCAACAAAATTAGTTTAAAGTCAATATTTGAAGAACTAATGAACCTGCTGTAGGTGCATGTTTATTTCTCTATATGTTTGATTTCCATTTATCCATCCATCCATCCATCCATTTATCCATCCGTACCCGCTTATTCCTTTCAGTTTCACTGGTGCCCATATCCAGCAGTCACAGTGCGAGGGGCGGGTCAACACATTGACGCATGTTGATGTGGGGGGAATGAGAATGGGCTCCTCACTCACACCTAGGGACAATTTAGAGTTATCAATTAACACAATTTAGAGTTACCAAAAACTAAATGCCCTTTTTCCACTAGTGCCACTTAGTGTAGAATCGGAATGGGTCAGCTCGGGTGCTTTTCCATTGACGTTCCAGTTCAGTTCCAGTGGGTGTGTTTTGGGCAGTTGGTGGAGGTAGTTTTTGGGTTTTTCAGAAAAAAAAAGTCAATGCGCAAAATGAGAGATGGAAACACATTTGCCGAATAAGTTCTGAAATTTTAAAAATTTGCTAAAAATTCAAATTAAAAAAGGATGGAAACACAACTAATGTCACTGCTACAATTGAAAAAATGGCTCCTTGAGTTGTTGTTGTAAAGGCAGCTCAGACACAACCATTGACTCCAGCCCCTAGCCAGTCAGTGATAAACAGTGTTCTGACGTCACAGTTTGGTGTCGACTGGGATCGCTTGGAACCACAATGAAGTAGGTACTAAAAAATGACTGGTTCCAAGAATCTGGCCTAATGGAAATGGGTTGGAACCGACACTACACTAAGTGGCACTGTGGAAAAGGACAGTCATGTTTTTGGTCTGTGGGGGGAAGCCAAACCCAGAGAATACCCACACATGCACTGAAAGAACATGCAAACTCTGCCTAGAAAGGTCTTGGGGCCGGGATTTGAACCAGTGACCTTCTTGCTGAGAGGCATCAGCTCTACCAACTGAGCCACTGTGCCGTTTGATTCCTGACAAGAATATTAAAAACACGTCTATACAAATGATAAAAGCATTAACAACACAACCGCAGGAAACTTTTTAGTGTTTTACCGCCAGATTTTTATTCAAAGCGTATTTCTTTCTCTCACTTCGCCATTACTAGCAGAAAAAAAAAAACCATCTGGTCGGCCCGAAAGGCATTATGGGATATGGTGGGCCGGGAAGGATCCATCGAACCTGTCCTTCAAATTAGGGAAAAAGGAGGAGGTGCTTGTCGGAGGCATCGGAGGAGTCTTTGAATTTGGACAGCCTCCAGTACGGCGCTAAGCGGCCAACAGATTCGACCTTCGGAGGACTCGGCCTCTGAATTTTGACACAGCCAGGCTGTAGTTTGGTTAGTCATTAGCCTAGCTTGCACCTTTGGCTCCTCCTCCTTCCTCTGGTGTCACAATGGTTAAGGTACTTATTATTTCTTATTTCAAACTTTATTTATTTCTTTAAAACAAAATTAGATGTACAATAAAATACAAAATATAATGACATGAAAGGCAGCAGAGAGAGGACGAAATCTTATATGTGCCCCTTTTTTTCTCAAGTATAAATTTAAAAAATAATAAACTTCAGTTAACAAAACAAAACAAAAACATCAAATCTTCCTAGAAAAACATTTTTATGGAAACATATTATACTATTTCATTTTTTTCTACAATCCAACCTTTATCATTCTCTTAAACATGCACAGTGATTTGACACTTTTAACATCATTTTCCAGATTATTCCACACTCTGCCTCCTTGGATTGAGGTGCACCGTTCTTTCAAACTGGTTCTAATATTAGGTTTCACGAACATCTCTGTCCCCTTAAGATTATAACAGCTCTCTGTCTTAATAAAGTTTATCTGAATGTTTAAAGGTAATGTGTTTTGGTGAGCCTTATACATAACTAACAATGTTATAATCAACCATATCATAAAATTTCAAAAATTTCAGTTTACAAAATAATATATTAGATGGATAATAGTAATGTTTTTGAGTGATAACTCTTATAGCTTTTTCTGCAAAACAAAAACTTGATTTGTAATTGTCTTACATGCTTTACCCCATACTTCAACACAATAGGCCAAGTGTGGAACAATTAACATGTTATATAACATATTCATTATAACAATAAGACAAAACGTCCCTTTAATGTTTGAAAATGACTCTTTCTTCACACAGACTGGGAACCAGGAGGAGCGACGTCGGGAAGCGATCACAGAGCTTGGGTCGTGGTTTTATCAGCAGCAGGAGCTGGAGCTTTAACAGTCCTGATGTTTTATTTAATGTATCGTGTCGTTA